AAGGACAGCCAACATCAAAGTTAGATGTGAGTGTTCAGGTCCTTGCCACATTGCATTTTGAGGTTCTCCAAGGATGGAAATATCTCCATTGACATTTTTGTCAACGTATACATGGACTTAACTAAACTCAGTGTGATTCCCTCCCTCCCAGTGTCCTTTGAGCTGTACCTTGTGTCCATTGCCTCATGTGTTCTTACTGTGGACCTCCAAGAAGAGTTGGCTCTATATACTTGGAAAGTCTCCTTTGGCAGTGTAAGGCAACAATGCAACAGACCCCTTTTCAACCCTCCCAGTCATCTGGTTCTTCTCGTGCATCTTACGCTCACATCTACAAATAACTAGCCAGATTTATCTCACCAATCAGTGTATAACTCTACATATAAGATCTCTAATGCCTCATTTGTCAGTAAGTTTTTCTTAGAGACCGATACTATACCTAATCGCTTAGAAATGTGTTTTACATTAATCTCCTTTCTTGTTAAACAGAAAATTTCACAGCTAATCTTTTCTGTTAGGCCACCGAGTGTACTCTAACCTACCAAAACACTTGTTCCTACAGGTTCTGCTGTTCCCAACCATATAGACATCTTTGGTTAGTGAGTTCAGCTCCAGCCAAGCCTTGGCCTTCCTGACCCCACCCTTGCACAATCCGGTAGTGTCCCTATACTCTTCCCAAGATATCTGGTCCCTGCTTCCAGTGCCTCTGCCCTTTAGCTTGACCAGCAGGTCTCAGCTCAGCCATGCTAGCCTCTTGCCTTCCTTGCCTGATTTCTTAAGACGTGGGGATCAAGAGTTCCTGTGCTCTATAGAAAGCATCCTTAAATATCTGCCAGCTCTGTTCTGCTCCATTGTCCCTTAGGAATGTTTCACAGAGGGTCCTGTTGACTATGCTTTTTGAACACCTCCAGGGATGGTGACTCCATCACTTCCCTGGGTATCCTGCTCCAATGCTTCACCACTCTTTCAGTAAAGAAATTCTTCCTTGTATCCAATCTAAACCTCCCGATGTGCAGCTTCAGCTCATTTCCTCTCATCCTATTGCGAGTTACCTGGGAGGAGAGACCAGCCCTCACCGCACTACAGCCTCCTTTCAGGGAGCTGTAGAGAGCAACAAGGTCTCCCCTCGGCATCCTTTCCTCCAAGCTAAACAACTCCAGTTCCCTCAGCAGCTCCTCATAAGACATGTTCCCCAGACCCCTTGCCAGCTTCATTGCCCTTCTCTAGACCCGCTCCAGCATCAAAATGTCTGTCTTATACTTTGGCACCCAAAACTGAACCCAGTACTCAAGCTGTGGCCTCACCAGTGCTGAGTACAAGGCCACGATCCCTTCTCTATTCCTGCTGGCCACACCATTTTTGATACAGGCCAGGATGCTGTTGTTGGCACCCTTTGCCACCTGGGCACACTGCTGGCTCATGTTCATCTGGCTGTCCACAAGCACCCACCCGCTCAGGTCCCTTCTTCCAGGAAGCTTTCCAGCCACTGTGTTAAGGGAATCTTCAGGGAAGCTAAAGTTAGAACTAAGGAAATCCAATTTTAACTGAAAAACAGTAATCAAAATACATGCACTTACTAAGTTGAAAGTTTTATCTCAATATTAGTTTTGACATTTTTTTTTTTAAAGTAACAGTATTACCATGTGCCTATCCATACAGGCATGGGATAAATATAGTGACAGAGTACAAGGTATAGTCAGAAGATAGATTGGATTACCTGTTCTGAACTAGGGAAGCACAGCCATAACAAAGTGTGGCATAACACCAGAAGCAGCCTATGAGACTTTGGAAGCTCAGTGTGGGCTCTGTATCTGTGTTAAGAGTTAATTTTTCAGTGGCAGTAGCACTTGGATGAGATGCACAGAAGCAGGCCAACAAAGAGGAGGAAGAACTGACCTGTGAGGCTTTCTTCACAAAGGCTGGGGAGCCCTGAGCTAACAAAAGTCCTCTTGAAATCCTCTTCAGCATTGTCTTAATGACAGGTTTTGTGTGGAGCCGTGATTTGAGATAGTTGGCTTAGACAGGCAAACCTATTGATGCCCTGTGAATAAAGCTCTATTTAACATATGTTAATGTGAGATTAGAGCAATTTTTTTTTCTATAACACATATGTAATAGACAGCTCCAATCTCTTCTGCAGACACTAATCTGAAAGAGAAAAATTGCTTCTTTTCACTATGTCTGAGCCTCAAATTGTACTTGAACGTGAAAGTACCTTACATAATTTGGGCAGCAGAAGTAGTCTAGCTACACCAAACAAGACAATCAAGCTTGCCCTGGCTTTCTGTAGTTCACCTATGCACATGGCTCTATTTTCTGGTTTTCCTTTTTCCAATTAGAGCCTGTAGGATATACCTTATAATTTCAGTTGGAAGACAGAATGTTCACACAAAGCACATTTTTAAAACAATTACTGTGTTCTTCAGAGAAACAATAGAGTAAGTGACAAAATGTTCTTGATCCTCATCTCCAGCATGTTCATTTAAAGTATTTAACTGTAAACATAGCCCTAGGTGTTGACAGGTAGGTATAGCATATTTAAAGAAACGATAGAAGAAATGTGAACAACTGATGTTTTATGCTCCCTAAGAACTGCTCCACATAATTTGTTTTCTAAACTGTGTATAGTTTTACAGGAAAAAAATAGAATCTGATTCCCATGAGTAAAAACAGCACAAAGGAAAATGGATTATTAAGAAAATAATTATACTTGGTATTGTCAAGAGGTAAAAAAAGAAAAAGCTGTATAGGGAAATACTCTGCCAGCAGTGGTGGCTTCCACAGTTCTGATATACACCAAGGTTCTAAACATTCTTTGGTAAGATTAGGCACGGTAATTCTTTTAATACAAGTTTTACCTATGTATTTGTCTCAAAAAGCCTGAGATCATAATAGATCAGTTTGAAGGTAGGTCCATCTTGGATCACTCGTCATTTTGACAAAAAGGTTTTAAAACATTACCTACAGGCTGTAGTAAAACACGTGAAAACTACCCCATCACTCCTGAAATGTTGATGGCAGCCCATGTGGACTAAAACTATTGAAAACTTCAGTGCGGAGAATAAGTTGGGGTTTTTTCATTTGTATGTTTAGCATGTATTTTGCCTCAATTGCTAAAAAATTATTAACTACCTGTTTACATACAGAAGTCTAACGGTCAGTACAACAAAGGGTCACTCATTCCACAAGTTACATTCTCCTTCCAAAACACGCACTTCAAATTTCAAGTAATCAGATCTGTGCAAGCATCTTTTCAGTTACCTGTAGAGTATCAAGTATTACAAACATGCCTAAGAAACCAGGCATGAGTTTGGGATAAGAGGTACACAGTCTTGGTTTATATGAGGTAGTAACAGTAATCTTCTCTAGAGTGAGTGATATTACACAGACACAGAACAGTCATTTAGTGCTCAGAAAAATAAGTGAATACACTATTTACAGATTTAGAACATCCTATTTTCACTGTCTGAAAAACAGCATAAAAGCAAGCTTCCCCTCTCCATTCTCAGTAGGCATATGACAGGTGAAACCAGAAAGAAAAAAAAAAAAAAAAAAAACCAAAACACCAAAACACTAACACTACAGGGGAGGAAAATAAAAAATAAAAAAAAATTAAAAAAATCCAACAACATACTGATTGGCAGGACACAATCCACCAACTTAGTTTTCTGTCTACAGCTTCTACCCTCATCTCTTCTTACGGTCTGCCTTGCATTAATTTTACTCAGAAAAGAATATATTCTGTAAACATTCAAACACAAAAGACCTGGCTTCCTGTCTGTGACTATTCACAACATCTAGAGGCATCACTTTTCTATCTTATCATAGTTATTACTAACAATAATAGTACTAAGGTTAAACTGATTTCTAGTCAGAAAAATAGAGAAATAGTTTAAACCACCACACTGACAAAGTCCAAATACAGACATGTTAATTTTTCCCTTCTTTCACAGAAGCCTGTTGTAATGTAGTAACATTATTGTATTAAAAGTTGAAAAACAGTTTAAATCCAGAGTTTAAAGCTACAGTTACTAGCTGCACAATATCACAGTGGTACCTGAGTCCTACCAGCTTCCATTAATACATCACTTCTCAAAATACCTTTTGCCTTAAAGTTACTAGAGATGACTAGAAATGGTTTTCATTTTGTAACATTACAAAGGAACCTGTATTTTTAATACATAGCACTCTCCCCAGCTCAAAGTTTTAAAGTAGCTTTGTTCTCTTTTTCAGCCTGAATAATCAATGACTTGATAAATTATTTCTGAAATTAAATATTGTGTTAATCTGAAATAAGAAATACCTCTAAGATACAAGTGAAGCCATACATAAAATGTAATACATAAGCAAATTATCAGTGCACAAAGATAGGTGTTTCTAGCCCAGTGACCACACCTAGCAGTGGGTAGATTACTGCAGGGGAAAAAAGTCTGTCCTCAAGGAATACAACAAAAATGCCTCAAGGCAAAAGCAAAGGCTGCCTTTAGACTAGTAATCTACAGTTCCTCTGGGGCGGGGGGGGGAAAGATGACCACAGCAGTATGTTCTTGCGCTTACTCAAATTTAGTACCTCTTTCAACTGATGATGCTGTGCTGATGTGGGATATAAGTGAACTCTGAAAAAAGTTCTGTAAGTATTTCCCCCTAAAAAAGGAAAAGTTTATAACAGATAGGAAAGGGTTTCAGAAGCTACCAGGAAACAAGGTATTACAGATATGAACAGGCATGCCTTAATAGCTTCTCTAATTTTAATGACAACTCAACTACTGAGAATTGTTTAAGGATGAAGGGTTGGATTGATTTCAGCTTGTCATGAAGTTTGCATGACATGGCATTTACAGTTCAGTGATTTGTCAAAATAAAGCTTAAGCAAACACAACACTGTTTGAACTCATTTTAATATTATAACTGATGATGACTTTTATACGAAAGGTGTTTTTTTTTTTCCTTTGCTAATATAACAAAATCAAAATATGCAATTAATTGTTTGCACAAGTCCTTACCTCCTCTGTGGACTACGGTTCTGAGAGAACTCTGAATCACTGTCCTTCGATGTTGGAGAACCCTTATATGTATAAAAAACATCCTCTGTTTCCGTAATATAACTAATCTCATTTGTAAGGTTATCTACAGATGAGTGTCGTGGTTTACGGATTTCATGACGTAGTCTAGGACTCCGCCTTAAAAATAAGGAACATAAACACAAGTTGGAAGATCAGAACAATTCACGGAACTCTATCAAAGTGGAACTTCTATCTTATTGCAATCTGTGTCTTGAAATCCTGACAGGTCTGTAAGTCTTGTTTTAAATAATTTTAAAACATTTTGTATGGTACACTAGGCATTCATACACAGCTAGGTTCAGTACATTGAACTGATTTGGTTTGTTCCTTTCATCCCCCCCGCCCTGAAATGCTACCTGTATTGTTAAAGTTCTAATCATAGGATAATTCAGCCTGGAAGGGACCCATGGAGATCATCTAGTCCAACCTCCTCCTTAAGGCACATTCAGTTGAGGTCAGAACAGGCTATTCAAGGCTTTATCCAGTCAGATCTCAAAATCTTAAGTATGGAGACCCCACAGTTTCTCTAAGCAAACACTGCTCAGCTGTCCTTGGGGTGAAGCAGTTTTTGACTATGTCCAGACATAGCATATACCTGCTGCCTCATCCTCCTACCATGCAGCACTGAAGAACCTAGCCTCATCCTCTAGATGGCCTCCTCCTAAGTACTGCCAGGCTGTTATAAGACGTCTGGGAAACCCTCTCTTCTCCAGGCTAAGTGCAGTTGTCTCAGCCTCTTCTCACAGGGTAAACGCTCTAGTCTCCGGGCTACCTTGGTGACTGGTGGACTTTGCTGAGCTCACTCCAGTCTGTCAGTGTCTTATCTTGTATTAGTGGACAGAAAAGCAGCTGCAGTATTCTAATAAGGTCTAATGAGTGCTGAGCAAAAAAGGGGGATAATCACTTCCCTTGATCTACCACCTAAGTTTCTGTTAATACTGTCAGGCTGCTGTGGACTTCTTTGTTGCTAAGGCGCACAGATAGCTCACATACAGCTTGCTGCCTTCAAAGATGATAAGATCCTTTTCCAGAGAGTTGCATTGCAGACATTACTGTTGCACCAGCTTCTTCCTTCACAGGACTTAGAATTTGTCTTTACTGAATTTCATAAACCTCCTATTGGCCCATTTATCAAAACTGTATTAGGAGTCTTTTGCATAGCAGCGCTGTCCCCAAGCTTACTGACTCATCTCATCAGTTTGCTGTCATCTGCAAACTTTAAGAGCAAGTATTCCATTGCCTCCTCCAGGTCATAAAGATGTTAAGCAGGACAGGTCCCAAGGTACTGCTGCAGTACTCCATTTGTTACTGGCCTCCAGGTAGACCATGGCCCATTAACAACTCCACTCTGAGTCCCATCATGTTTTTTTTTTTTTTCTCCTCTTTTTTTTTTTTTTTTCCTTTTTCCTTTCTTTTAAACCATCATCTTGTCCACTCTTTCAGAACATAATGTCTTAACTTGGGTATAATATTTTGGAAGACGGTATCAAAAGTCTTGCTAAAGTTGAGGTATGTGACACCCACTCTTCTCCTGTCATCATATATTCTCAAAATAACAGTGTTGAAATATATGTACACGTTACATAATTATTCTGCTAGAGTAGAAACAATTGGAAAAGGTAAGAGGCTGGAAGGTATGGGAAAGGTTGAAACTGGATTTACCAATTAGGGGTAACAGGAGGTGATCGAGAAGGAAGGCTTTTGGTCTCTAGATGCTCAACAGACAGAGATCGTCTCATAGATGGGTTCCAAACCATCCCACCTATAACTTTTCTGCAGTACTGGCTGTTTACAGATCTGAAAAGAAAGAAATAACCCTGTACATTAATTACTTTCATTAAACATATTTTGTTTTCTTTTTCTATGCAAAATCAATTTTATAATTCATGAGTTTTAAAAAGTCCCCTGTGCTTTACCCCTCCTTACTTACGCATTTGAAGTCTCAGACAGACATTTGCTGTTATTCACTTGTGGCAATGCAGTTGTTTGTTAATCCCTGCTACAATACTAATCACAAATCTGGGTAAAAATAACTTTTTCTGAGAATTATTTTTAAATCAATTGTGTTTAAGAAAATGGAGAAGAAAACAGGAAATTCAGTGTGTCCTATTGGCACTGAACTGAACACCTGACAAAACAGGGTTCAAATATAGGCAAAATACTGTAGATGTTCTCTGTTAAAACTCATAAGAGGGTAAAATTTATTAATGGCTTCACTGGACACATGACTTTAATCATCTACCTGCTGCCTAGGCAAATAAGAGCTACACCAGGGTACTCTGTTTCCAGAAGGAAGCCACATGTGAGTTGTGTTTCTTATAGAAAAAAAAAAAATCTGTCATGGAAAGATGATCTCCAAGTCTGGACTGTTTCTTGTGTCAAGAACCTGATACACAAGTGTTGCATCAGAACTTCAACTAGGAAAGCAATAGAAATACATTACTAGTGGAATTACACAGCATAAAACTTAGTTTATCTCAATTTCAATTTGCTTTAAAAATTAACTTTCATGCCTTTCGTCTTTTTACACAGCATTCCACAACAGAAACAAAAAGATAAGCTGCTCATGCTCAAGTTTACAGGCCTAGGATTTCTCATGGAAAAGCAGCAATTTATGAGCTAGAGAACCCAACTTTGGCTCACTACAATCCTGAGGTGTAGATAATAGGCAGCTGGGACAGCAAGGTATGTAAGGACTTTGCTACAGAGCTGAATAGGCTCAAATTTACATAGCGTAAAAAGTTGTGTATGTTGTGGATATTAATCATGCTAATATCAGACCTTAACTATGCTTTGCATTGCACTGCTTTTTGTTTATACAAGTAAAAAAGAAAAAGTGCCCCAAACCTTTTTTTTTGTTTATATTCTGAAGTATTTTACATATCTAGTTCATGATTTTAAAGCACATTAGTTCCTTCATCTTCTAAATATAATTTTAAAGCTTCTCCCAGTTTAAAAAACAGAGGGAAAACTTAAGATGAAGTATCTTAAAATATTATATCAAAATCAGTTACCTAGGTATGTTTTTAAGCTTAATAAACACATAGTTCATGAGTTCAGGAGAAGCTTTTGCCTATATTATACATTTAATTTCTCTAAGTCTTTTGAATACAACTGATAAGGCACAAACTATTCTGGTCCTCTCTGAAAACAGAGTTCTTTCAAAGAAGACGTACACTGGCAGTGCAGAGAGGGAGAACAGAAAAAGAGGATGTATTATGAAAAATGCATTTTGAAGAATTCCACATATTTTGTGTTATTCAGCTTTTTCATTAGAAGTGCCTGTTCAAGCATTTTCCAATGCAGATGACTTTTGGGGTGCAATGTAACTTGTGTGATGTAAGCCAGAGCCCTAACGTTAACCCCAAACCTGACCACAGAATCCCTTTAACAGTATATTCTCCAGATATTTCAGTTAAGTTACATGACATAATCTCCTGAACTCCAAGTAGCTGCTCTTCAGATGTCAAATACAAGTAGACTTCTCAGCAAAGACACTAAGAGGCTGCCCATGCCTTTCTGGAATGGGCTGCACTATCTTGAGATGACACTTCCTTGCTCCTAGTTATTACTGTGGTTATCTTTTGTGGAAAAACAAACAAACAAACAAAACCAGGTACATTTTTAGCTTTTCAGCAAGGAATGAGAATGCATCTAAGAGAAGTTATTCAGCATTCATTCCAGAAACACTGTATGAACTTACATCTCAAAATCTGGGAGATGTGATTCAGCCTGAATAAGACTTACGGGTGCTTTATACAACTCAGCAGTCTAATTTAAATGGAATTCCACTAGTACTTTAAGCTAAGAGAATCTAGAAGGACATAGAGATGTCCAAGTAAGAAAATGTACTAAAGGGTTGCAAGAGTTCAACTGTTTGAACTAATGTGATAAATGGTAGGTTATACGACTCACGTGAGTGTAAAAGAATACAGTACAAAAAAGCCTGAAATTGTAGAAGAAAACTCATGACACTTAGGGTGGTAAACCCCTAATTAACCCCCTTCAAAGCTGACACAAGTTTGAAGAAAGAATTGTTAAAGACAGGTCAATCTTAAAACCTCTGGGGTTACATTTTGTGGTTGGTAGGATTTTTGTGTATGTATTTTTGTTGTTGTTCTGTTTTTTTGGGGGGGGGTAGTGTATTGTATAGTTGTTTCCTTTTTTTTGTTTGTTTGTTTGGGTTTTTTTTAGTGTGTGTTTGCTTTACACAATGCAAAATTTTGAAATTTTGCTCCCTTTCAAAGGCAGAATGTAGAATACCTTTTTGGTTGCATAGCTTTCATTATGATGGCTCAGAGCCATCATTGAAAGGGAAAGGGAAAGCCCACGTCTCTTAAAACATCTCATTATCACAAACAAGTAAGAAAGTAAAAATTTTTGATATATGACAGATGACTTCAGAATTGACCTGTCGATAACTTTTTTTAAAACTTTTGAGAAAAATCAACAGTGACAGTGATCAACTTATAAGAACTACTAAAAGTCTTCCAAAACTATTGTTGCTTCCCATACTTTAGCAGTATGACAGTAAAGGTTGCTTCGTCATTTCTGCCTCATGTAGAGCCTACAATGCCACGCTTGATGTTGGCATAAGTAAGGCTAAAGAATGCATTAGTACAGAGGATATCACTGAACCTCTTGGAAGATATCACAATGAACAGTTCTCCCTAGAGATTCCTTAAGAGTCTAAACAAGCAATTCACCAGAGGTTAATGCCTTGGAACATGAAATTACTTGAAAAGAAGTCTTTCTTAGTAACTCAGTTCAACAATGAGAACTATCCTGCATGCTACAGGTTATTAAGAGTAGTTAACAGTAAATTTGTCAAAAATGTTTGATAAAAATTGGAATGATAATGAACTATTACGCTCCGGAGCTCATACTGCTTTCTTTCCTAACATTACAAGGGCTGTGCAATGCCCGCATGTCCTTTTATATATACAAGCATCAGGATTTTGAATCCGTTTGCAATTATACTCCACATACCTCACAGAGGAGCTACTTCTAAAAATACCGATATGTAAAATGGTAGAAAATTAGATTACTGTTTTGTTCAACTCCTTGTTGAACCCTTGCTTCAGCTATGATCTAGTATCAGGTAAAACTATGGTATTCCACTCCAGCAGGAAATGGTTTATCAGCCTTTTTACTGTTGGGCAGTCCTCATGGGTTAACTGCTTCAATTACAAAGAATGCTAGTCCACTTGGCATGAAAACCTACAGTATCTAAAGAGACATGACAATGAGAAGCTAGCCAGCCACTAAAACCTGGGGAGTTACTTGAATTATGATTACATCATTCAAAAGTTGAACCTTATCCAAACAGGAAAAAGAATTAGCCTGACAAATTAAATGTAAAGTTAATCTGTTAATGGGACACACTGCAAAAAAAAGACACAAAAAGGAAACAAAGTACTCCTCCAAAAATTGCCAGAACAACCAGGTTTCTAGAGGCTGCAAGATCCAAGGACCAAAGAACCCTCCAAAAATCTCGCATTCAGAGAAGATGACATAAGATTTTTCTTATTCATTACTAATATGAAAGATTTTTGATATTTCATTATAGTATCTTTTTCAGGGAGCGTGGTGGGGTGGAACATGGGTGAGAAAACGACGACACAGGACATGACATGTTTGTAGCTGAATTGCTCATAAATTAAACAGAACAAATCAACATAATGAAAGAAATCATTGGGACTGATACTTACAAAATCATCTAAAAGACTCTAAGATCAAACAGCAGAACTACTTAAGTCTAACCTCCCACTTTAAACTAGTGATTTCATATGCTCAATATTTCAGAAAGGTTTGACAAGGTCCCTTAAACGCATAAAAAAACTAGGGAGCTAGGGAATAAACAGGGTCCTCACTTTGAGGAATTACCTATTCACTTGTGACATAAAAGAAAGAATAGGAAAAAATGTTTTAGATTTACAGTGAAAAAAGATCAGCAGATCAGCCATGAAGTCTTAAAGGGATATCTGTCAGGGGGGATCTTTTGTTCAACGTTTTCACCAGTGATCTAGGGAAATTTAGAGCTTGCTGAAAATACTATTCACACAGAATGGCCAAAATTATAGTCCATTGTGAAGAAAAACATAAGGACATCACAACATGAAATGACTAGACCATAAACTATCAGATGATATTCAGTGAAGTTATGGGCCAGTTGGTACATACAGGAAGGAACAATCACAACTTCATACAGCAAAACAGGCTCTGAAGTATTACTTTTGGGGAATTAGATCTTAGATATAAAACTACCAGCTCCATGACTAGTAGAACCCAACAAGGCAAAAAAAAGGCTAGAAGTGTCACAATAATGTCTCTTGAATACTTGAAAGTTTTTAATCTCTATGTGAGTAATAAGTGCTTGGTATTCCAACCACATTTTACTTTCCAGTGTTTTGATAAGTCAAATTGAAAAATTAAGTTGAAACAACACCAGTAGAACACACATTCAAATACCCTTTCAGGAAACTAGAAGAAAAGTTCTATTGTAATGATACCATGCTGCAGAAACAAAGCACACCTCTATAATGTGTGGAATGCTTCACATACAGACTGAGACACAGCTGTAGGCAGAACTAAACTCTGCCACTCCAACTTGAGCTATCACTGGCAAATCCTCCCATTCACATTACAAAGCAAAACATGCTTTCACACAGTACTTACTTTGCTGGATTTCTAGAACCCAGTGTCAAATAATGTGACAGTATCTTTTTTTCATGAGGTAGTGACTTCTTTGCCTGAAAAAATGTATGATGTTCTACACAAGATTTCCATAGATTTTTGCATGCTCTGTAATTTAGCATGTTGAAGGCAACAATATGCTCTCTGGATTCATTCTGTAACAATAGAAAATACCACGTTTCAATATATACAAGTAGATGAAGCACAGCAAACAAGCTCAAAAAACAGTAATAAAATTACTTCTCTTTTAAATAAAAAAGACGAATTTAGGAAAATATAAAAATCAGTGTATAGTAGATTCTGAGATGGAGATGGCCAAAATAGCCCTGTGACTGTATGAAATGCTAAATTGCAAAATGGATACTTTAAAAGTTTAAGCAATACTGAAGAATTATTAAGTTTTTCGTGGTAAAGATTTTGTATGTAAGAGCACAATATTAAACAGCTAGATAGTTTCAGTTTTCCAGTCAGATCTTGGCCTCCTGTGACAAACAATTTTTTTTTAGATGGGATGGGATAAACATCTCTTTATTAAATTCACTGTATTTAGGAATTCTACAGGGCAGAGACAGCACGAAAAAGGAGAGCAGATGCTGCCAATAAGAGGGAAATACACTAGGTTACTAAATACTGGAGGAAGGATCAAGGTCTGCATTTCTTCCAAGTCTCCAAGGAAGAAGAAACCTGCATGGGAAAGATGCAGTCCAGACTTAATATGGAAGGATTCAAAGTTGGAAATGAAACAAAAGTGAGAAACATAGCTAGGATAAGAGAATTAGAAAAGCAAGGGCAAGTTAACAAAACAGAATTTCAAAGGCAACTTACCACAACAGAGCCTTTTGATCAGCATTTTGCTGTCTTGACATTTAAGGCAAAAAATCTGAACATAACCACTTGAGCAAAGTAAAATTAAATGACTACTTACATGTTTTTGACGTTGTTGAATAAAAAACTTTTTCCTTTTAAAGGAAATTTTTAATATGTTCACCCTAAAAGAAAGAAAGACCACGAAATACTAAACAGTATTTAGAGGATTAAAATAATGAACTATAATACTGTGTACAGCGAGCCTATGAGATTATTGCCATTAAGTGGTCAATGAATAATATTCAGTATCTCCTACGTTGAGATGTAAAGAGATGTCAAAAAACCCAAAGGAAAATTTTAGCTAAGAAGGCCCTTTTAAAATTTAAATTCTTCCTCATTTACTCTTTAAATAGTTCACACAGAAATTCTCTCCCACCGAATCTATTCTTACAGCAAAAACTTGATGACATCCTTTACTAAGCTGCACAAATGTTAAAGATGGCAAGTTGGTATAACTTAAAAACCATGTGACAATTATGACTAAAGGAACAGATTTCAAGACCCTAGCAATGGCAAGGTTAATCATACATTTGAAATTTCCCAGACATTTCACAGAACTGGCTTTGTAACGTGAATATCATGTATTTGTATTAATAACTAAACACTGTAGCTAAAAATCATAATTGTAGGAAAATGAAAACTGTAAGAATGACTGTTAATATTTTTCACTTCAATTATTAACGTCGCTACGTAATTTATGTGGTAATTTCATTCAGAATGGAACACCTTTTCTATATATACATAGTATGAATAAAGATTTTCTAAGATAAGGTTTACAAATGGAATTGGTGCTCAAGCAATTTGTTTATTACATGCTTATCAGTTTTGCTAAATTAAACAAATGTATTAAGTGCCCACACACCTTCCTACAGCAAAATAAAATTTGTCTAAAATACCTAAAATTTTCTCTGCAATATTTCTACTTCTATAACTGAAAACCTACACATTTATAAAAAAAGAAACTGGTGATGTGTGATCAGCTGGAATCATGCGGATGTATTAGGAATGCTCTTTAAGGTCTGATCAAGTCATATCTGTCTGCAAACACACCATGAAAAGGGTTTGGAAGGTTGCTGCTAAAAGTGTCAGAATATTCCTGGCAACTAACAATGTTTCACAGTACCTTCAATCTCAACACTTATGAATTATACTGAAGGTCATCTGAGTTCTTACAACAGGTTTTGTATCACTCTCAGCAAGTGGGGCAATGACACATCATTCATTCCCCAATGCCTATGAGAGAGATGCACTTCAGCTATAGAGCAACAGTATGTTTGCCAGTTGCAAAGAGGAAAGGTAATGGACCAAACAACCCCATCTCCTGCACAGAAGAGGTGGAAAACTGAACACATGCCCATTTCTGAAAATGCTTTTCTACATCAATTACAGAACCACAAAGAAAAATTAATTTCATTAACACTGTTCTTCAGCAACCAGGCAAATTGTTGTGCAAGTAATTGGAAAGTTAAAATCATATCTACTTCTCCTGTTAGGCCAGCTCTTGAAATACTTAAACCATTTGACTTGCAACCCAAAGCAGTAATGATCCATACTACTCATCTAAAAGTTCAGGATCGTGAACTTCCCAATAAGTCACAGAAACTTTGACTTGTACTTGCTGAAATGTAACTCATTTTTATAGAAATACTTTCTTAATCCTAGTGCTACTCTGCCTGAACTACTAACACTCAAGTTTTGTGCTTCTGGTTCTTTCTTACATTTCTTGACTTAAATTTCAACACACAAGTTTTTTGACTTATTCTTAGCTTACATAGTTGTTATTTTTGTACCCTAGCATATAGCCAGTAGAAATGCAGGACGCAAAAAAACTAACCTTGGAGACTAAGTGAAAAAAACCTCCACCTAACAACAAAAAGGTAGCCACAGAATATCACAGAATATCAAAACTCTATCAGTCCCTCGTCTCTCCCCTTTTTAAAAAACATGATTCACTGCACAACCATATAAACACTTCAAGCCAAATCATGGCTTTAAATCTCTTTGACTCTCCTCTAAATAGAGCATCCCTCTCAATTCCATTAATTCTTCTAATGTACAACTAAACTTATTTAATTCAATGACAAAGTAAACTTGCTAATCTGACATGTTTTTTTTTAACATCAACTAAAAATCATTTGCACTATTACTCCTAGAAGTTGAGTGAATATTCACATATAGCAGAATCCACAAAAGAAATCCAAGAGATTAAGGTATCAAAGGATTTAGTATTAACAAGTGCTTGAAGATGCCACATCCAAACCATGATCTGAACAGAATATAGTTGCTCTTATTCTAACTGGTGGCTTAGCCACCCTTATCACTCACCAATAATCTGCCCAGTGACTATGGAACATTCACAAATCGCTAAATTTAACGGTTTACTTGTAAAATGCTCAATACTTGTAGCTTATGGTACATCTTTTGGTCCAACCTTCCTGTCATTCAAAAGGGTCAAAACAGATTTGTCACTTAGTCAGCAACAGAATTATTCATTTCTGATCAAATCGGCATTTCTGTCCCAGCACTTAGCACTAACAACTGGTATTTTTGACTTCAAGCAAAAATGCTTCTTTAGCTGTACATCTTACCATTTACCATCAGAAGATTTATCAGGAAAAGTTTGTCAAATTTGCTATGCAAAACTTTTTTTTTTTTTTAAATTTTAACTAGCTATGTAGAATGTATTGAAACTCTAGCAGTTTCTCTGAAGTTTTCATAGCAAAGTAACTGCATATACTGACTAATATGTAATACATAACCTCAATTGCTGCGATGTAGAGTGTGCTTGTATGGTTTTGCCATTAAAGTAATATTTCACTTGCAAAGCAAATTTGGAAATTATCACAAAACAGTCGAGCACCTCCAAAAATAACTTTCAAGAGCATATGAAATACTGCATTAAATCCAGAGTTATTTTTTAAACCTGTCTTGACTTGCATTCCCTCTAACTGATCAGTCAGCTCCTTACGTAGGTTGCTTTGATTGAATATCCTCCTTTTGCCAAGGCCTCTTTCTCTCACTGCCTCTGTTCCTGAAACTTTTGGTCCCCTTTGACTACTACCATATGGCATAGTTGTATTGTCATCTACTAATGCTGCAGAATATTTTACTTAGAGCTTTGGAAAGTGCTTTGATGGTGTTTGCTGCCACCTTGAGTGCTACCACATTTACAGTGAAGCTTGTTCAGCCCATAGGAAAAACTACGTACTGCAAACCATGTTACATAAAATGTCTAAATACCAATTCAATTATCTAAATTGCATTTGCTTTGCATTCTCAGGTATACACTTTTCTGTAAGGAATCTCCTTACCTGCACACCTTCAGCCTAACCAACACACATTAGAACTCCAGGCATTACAGAAATTTATCTGCTTTCATGTCTAAAAAGATACTGGAAGTGCATACTACAAATACAGCACAAGCTGGTCTGCACAGCTTTCCTTGTTCACCTGTTTTGGTTTTTTTTTTTTGGTTTTTTTTGGGTTTTTTGTTTGTTTGTTTGTTTTCCCCCCTTTTTTTTTTTGGTGGCGGGAAGGCAGGTAGGTAATGGATACTACTCCTGCATGAAGAATTATGAATAACTTGTTCAAGGACCCAGAAATAAAACATGAAAAAGTTATCCCCTATGTAGTGAGTTTTTGTTCCTTTCAAGATGAGAAAATATATTTAGACAGAGAGTAGGAAAGATTGGAACAATTGCATTAGCTGTCAGCTGAAAATATTGCCACCTAAACCTCATGTTTCAGAATATAAATTATTTTAACTGGAAAATCTGTGGGTTTTTTTTTCCCTCCATCTCTTTTTTTACAAATGAGAACAGGTTCTTCTCAGTGACGTTGTAGCACCTGCGTTTTATTCCTCTGTACGCTCCAGAAGTAGAAGGGGTACAATGTCATGGATTCCTCCTGTCTTGTGTGCTGTAAAGCTCTCCTTCCCTTCCTAAAAAACCCTCATCATACAGCCTTGGATTTTAAAATGCCATCACTATGGTTTTCAGGAATAATTATTATCCATCCATACCTTGGGTCACTAAGTTGGCAGTACAAGATGTGCAGAAGAGAGAAAACGTAACTCCAGCTGGTTGTTTTTAAAACCTGCAGCTGTTTAAAGAAGCTGCAAGATTGACTTATGAAAAGGCAGAGCTCATGGTACAAAGATTAAAAGTCTATTATGCTTTAGTGTGCATTAGTAACAGAAAAATACAAGATGCCACTGTGCCGTACGAGAACATTATTGACATATGTTTAGGGTCCCTACAGTACATCCAAGTGAGTTCAAACACAATTCACTGCAAAGAAAAAAAGAAAAACCCAGACACTGTAAAGTACATTTTCCACTAAAATTTAAATTGAAACCATTGTTATTGCTTTCTTATAGGAAACACCTGTTAGGTTGGGCTCATAATGAAAGGATGGACTGACTCAAGTATTTAAGGAATATTGCTAAGAAGGACCTTGTCATATAATTAAGGGGCAAAAAGTAAATACAACCCATTAGAATTACTTTTCTGTCATGACTAACAACACTACACTATCTTAGTGAAAACATTCTCCAGAAACTCTTACTAATTATATGAAGAAATTATGTGTAACATGATAAAGCTATACTTTACCAAGTATACAAAACAAATTCGTACTTATTTTGAAAAAAGAAAGTTTGAGAAAAATTCTTCCTTATCCAGTCCACAAACCTTAATGAAATGCCTCACCCCCATGTGATTTCTAGTCTATGTTACTATTTTTAGTATAACTAATAAACTTCATAAGTACTATAAATATAGCTTGATTTCTAATGTCATTCACATTAGAGTTCTGGTACACATTGCTTCTTTGTAAAGATTTTCTAGAGAACTATCATGCATTCTAAATGCTTTCAGTATCAGAGTAATGCAAAGCTCTCTCCCCTGGAGCCTCCAAAACTTGTTAATGTCATATAACCTTGTTTGATGGCATTTAAAAATTTGTCTAAATTATATTATACTAGTTCCAGTAAATCTGAAACTCCAAATAAGTCATTTTACATTTCTTTTCTGAGAAGTAAATAGCTTCTTGCTCAATGACAGAATAAAAGGATAAGACCCTTAGCTGTTGAGCTTTACTAGTAATACTCAAAAGCAAAACAAAACACCATCAAAGAAAACCCAAACAAACAAAACCGTTGCTGGGTACAACAGCAGCCAATCTGTAAGGCCACAAGGTCCTCCTAATCATAGAGTCATACCTGTATGTAAATTAACTCCACTAAGACGACACACTGCAAGGAGTTCAAAAGTCTTAGAGAATGAAAAGCTTAGGCAACAGGTTTCATTTTTATCTTAACACAAGGCAATACTATGGTACCCTGTAAAAAACAAATTTGTGTATTGTGGGCTTCTTTGGAATAAATGTTAAAGCAAATGGAAATACGGTTGATAAGACCAGACATATTTCTTTACTAGTAAAGGAATTTACCAGGGATAGAAGCTTGTGCAGATGAGCTTTCTATACACAGCAATTCCACTGGATGCAATCCCAATCATAAGATCTAGATTATGGAGGTCCTGCGAAAGAAAAATACTGTAAGAACACAGATGCAACTTCTGGCTTTCCCATTTATCTACTTATAAATTAATTTTTATGTTTTCTATACTTAAATTGCTACTCCTGAGGCAAAAATTCAATCACCTATTTGGATTTATTTTTGCCTCGTGCCTCCCTTTCCTTTGATGTTATCTACTAGGATTATAAACTTTCATTAAACCCAGTTGTAGTATTCATCTTACTACACTAGCTATTAAATCAGTTTCAGACTCAATTTTCAAGTCTAGCCTTATTGATTTAACCACAGAAAAGCAGTTGAAGCACTTCCCAAGATCCGTCCTGTAAATGTCACAGAATTTTGGGAACTGAGCACAAATATCCTGCTTCTACGTGGTTTAAAAAGAGTAAGGAAATAATTCCTTATTTTTTCAAAAAAAGTCTTACCAAGAAAGACCATGCAGGAGAGAAGCACAATTCTGCATGTATGCTAGAGGAATGTAAATGTATACATGAATATTTGATACACTAAAATATGATACTAATATGTTATGACATTCACTTCTAAATAGTGCTGAACACATGCATAGATCTACACGTGTGTAGAACCCATTGGTTAAAACATCAAGTTTGACTCAAAAGTAGTTTCAGATGATTTAATAAAGCATGGCCAAAGGGTTTGTCTTAAAGTCTTCAGTACCTTAGCTGCTCCTCTAGATGGTACCCTGTGCTCAGTTAATACACAGTTTCTTGCATGTCCAATCCAAATTTCTTTGCATTAGTAAAGTACAGAAGAATAGAACATACAGCATGTGCTCTTATAACACTGTGGAAAGACTATAATAAAACCTTTAAAAAAATCATTAAACAGACTCGTGATACAAGCATATGCATGAATGAATCTGAACCTAACCTGCAACGTGATTTATAAATGTTCAGTGAAATACCACAACAATACATAGAATATGAGCATAATCTATTTAACACATAGTGCATAAACACTGAATACTGACAAGATCAATGGAGTATTAGTGCTATCTCAGAGTATAATAAAACCGTTAGGTAGGTAATGGTCCAAATAAACTCAACGTATCCCCAAATGAGATGAAATTACTAATAATCCTCAGCAACCTGCTACCCTGTTTTGCCAAAAACTGCTACTAGAGGAGCTGGTTGAATCTCCATTGGAAGAAGCTCATGATGCCAGTTTATGCCAGCATAATACATGAATCCAGAATTGACACTCCTTGATTTTAATACTCAGAGAAAACAGGAGGTATTTCACGAGATGAACTGTAAATTAGCTGTCCCTGCCATGACACAGCCAACCTAAAACAGGGCAGAAATCTGTATTATTAATACTTGGAGCTTACCCCAGGTTCCTGCTCTGAATCTATAGTATGAAGAAATAACAGCTTTAAGAGAAAAAGCTTAAAACCTACATGAATAACCAGAAGTAAAGGATTAACCAAACAATTGACAAAGATTAATTAGGCTAAACAACTCTTTTTTTCCACGAGCTTTGTCAGAACAAAGTTCATTCTCCATTCCCCTCTGTCCCCATCTAAAATATTAATATCACATGCCATTAGTTATAATGAATTATCTTCTGTTAAATCCAAGAAACCCAAAACCAAGATTCTGGACTAGTATAAAACAGGGTTCTCCCAAAAGAAAGATGGAGATTTGAAAGGGAAATAACTGCACAACATTTATGCTGTTAAATTGCACACTTATGAGATACATGCATATATTTTTCTTTTAACCTTTTTTTTTTTTATAGGGATAGTAAAAACCCTATAAAGATAAAAATTATTATGCCAGGCATCTAGCTAAATACCGATTTATTACAATTTTAGCAGTTTATATTTATCCTCAGAGAAAAGCAGACCTATTTGCAGATGAAAACTGGGCTCACATTAATTCAAAAATGTAAGTTCCATGTTTAGCATGTTGCTAAAAAGAAACCTCAACAGTTGACTTCTGCAAAATATTTAACTTTGTAAGTAAAGGAGAAGACCAAAATACTCAAATGATACCAAAACAGCTTCATATGGTTATATGACATTGTCTGTTTTGCTTTCCATTTCCTTCCTAGCAGCTTCTGATGCTCTAGATGTTTTTTTCTAGCACTTGACCTGAACAACTACTTCAAGTATTTTCATCTTTCAAAAAAGATGAGTTGTGATAAAAGTATTAATTTGAACTGAAACAATAGCAAGATAGTCTGCATCTTAACGGCCTGGAATACAGAAGGCTTTGATTCAAATTCTATATTCTATTTGATTCAAATGATACTGTTTGGTGTCAGGTAGAAAAGGGGCTCATGACTAATATTCTGGCATCCTGTGAGCCCCAAGTCATTGCAGATCAAACAGTGGGCTGGGCTGAGGGGAAAAATCAATCAATCAATCAATCCATCCACTGTTAAGCAGATAGCTCCAGAAGGTATTTCTACTTGCATAGAGCAGCCCAGTACACTGCAACAAAATTTTATTTAGTTGAAAATGTCTGGACCCACTCTAAACTCTCCTTACTACCTGATACTGGCATGACCACTACTGACATGCTGCATGTAGTTTGGTGGCCTGCAGCTCAGGAAGGAAGCTGGAAACAGAACAACTCCCAGAAACAGCATCCCATGAACATAAAGAGAACAGTCCCAGGGTTAAATTCTTGGAACTTAAGTTGGCTTATCAAACTACTAGGCTACAACAGAAGCTAAAGGACAGACTGATGAACTTAGGTGCATATAGGGAGATCTCAAGTATGACAGTAATGAGTTTTTCAATATAGCAGAAAGGTGGCAGATGACCCAGCAGACAGCCAATGACCATACACAAATTCAGATTTAATAAGATGCCCATTTAAAGGTAAATGCCTTATTAGAAATTGGGAAGGCTTTTACATTGTCAGAAGACATAAGAAATTCGTTCACATATGCTAGACTACTTGCCCACAACCAATGCATGCAAAACAAGACCTCTGATCACCTTCAAGAGTTGTCCCATAATGATTGCCTCTCCTGATACTCATATCAGATGGTTTGAGCATAGAAAGCTCATATTTTGTTCACTTCAATTATTTTCTTTAGTACTTTTCCCCCATCCTTAAAAAGGTCTCCACTGTTTGAGCATTGTATTTCATGAATATGAATGTAATTACAGTGGCTTAATACAGGGATACTTTAGCAATTTTTAGATAGCTAATGCAATGCTCACTTATTTGTGGTAGTATAAAGAAAAAAAAAAAAAACAAAACAGAAGAAAACATCATCCTGAAGGAGGAAAATTACCCTTTCTATCCCCTTCCATCAGTAAAGAAATTGATCTTTGTTTTTTTTCATTAGAATTCTCAATGTCATGATTAACAAATCTAAGAGAACAGTAGCCTTCATTTAGGAAATCAATCATTTGCACTACGCTTCATTAAGATTTTATACTTACAAGCTTTATGCCAAAATACTGTGCTAATTCATGAAAGCACAAATGATAACTTGCACACTAGGATGCAATAAAAGAAGAGTATTTTTGGGGTTCATCTCAGACAGCTAGTAGAATCAC